AAAAAAGACACCAGTTTCTCTTAGCCATTCTTGTCATTTAACCAAAGCAGCTGGTGTTGAAGCTTATTAAATCAAACTGCTTCAAGCTAGAGCTGCGTGTTATAGACCAAAAATAATACCGTACTTTCTGGACGATGAGCCGCTACTTTATCCCCATGCTTTGAACCATGGGACTTGTACAAAAGTTTGGCTTTTCTGCGGATTTTTCCCAACTTCCAGGGGTGGAAGTCAAAGTTGGAAACCAAAGAAGCTCATTTTCATTTAGCACTAAGATATGCTAACAGCAGGCACAACAGTGAATAAATGTCCTGAACTCACACATTTAGACATCTATTTGCCTCAATAAAGCTGCTGAACCAATGAAGAGCTGACAAAGCCACATCTTTCATTAGAAGCTCTTATTGCAGTGAGCCAACAAGCTTGCATTCTTCTTAAAGCTATAGCAATATAGTTGAGAGTAGCAATATACAACATTTAGAATAATTATAAAAAGGCACCTCTGAATCAAAGCTTTGTGTCACGTTTTGGTTGGTGTTTGTGGACCCAAATGCAGAGGCAGAGAGGCAGAGGTGAGTTCTTGTAGATTTAATCAGAGAAAATAGTTAAACAAAGGCAGGAATCCAAAATTCAGCTTAATATGTAACACAGACCAGAACCATGGAGACATCAGGGGGAAATAATCGCGAGGAGCCAGGGAGAGACGAGGTAGGAAGGAAACAGCATTGAGAAACCAGCAACGACAAGGAACCAACAAGGAGTGACAGCAGAGGGAGAGCATAAATAGCTGACTGAGACAAAGGCAGGGCTAACGAGCAGATAAGAAGCAGGTGTGAGAGGAGACAACAAGGAAGCCAAGGGGAAAGGAACACACACACACACACACACACACAAGAGGGCAACAAAGGACAACAGAAAAACCTTAGAACTAACATAAATCTAGAAACTACAATAAAACAGGAATTAAACCAATAAAACTAGGAAACTAGGAAACATGGAGCAAAGGAAAGCACAACAGAACCAAAACCATGACACTTTGTCCCAAATGTCACACAGCACCCACAGTTTTTACTGTAAATAACCACAAGAAATATCTGAAAACTAGCTTACTAATTTGCACAAAAAATAAGAATTTTTAAATAGATCCTGTTATAAAGAAGTTTCATTATTTCCTTTCTTCTCAATATTTGTAAAATATCAACTTTTTGCCCTACTTCAAGCAGTTAACATGTCCTGTAACATTTAACATTTGTCTTTCCTCAGCAGACTAAGACTGAGCTTTTTTTAAAGCAAATATATGTAGTTGATTTGGTGTAAAACAAAGAACTAAAAGTATGGTTATCTGTGATGCTAGATCTGCTCGAACACTGATGATGGGTCCTCACTTGGACTATTAAATTTGACGTTTTCTTTTTCGCATACTAAATACATTTGTAGCGTTAAAATAAAAGGCTGAAATAAAGGTTTGATTTTTAGATGTAAGATTAAACAATTGTAAACAACAGTGCAAGAATTCTTAAGGGTTCTACATATGCCAGTTCTGGTAACACAATTATTGTCAAATTATTTATCAAAGACATTTTAAAGAGACAGTTATAAAAAAGTTTGCCACTGCATGCTAACATCTAGTAGTGTGACCATGTGACACACCATAAGTACTAACTACTGTAAAATCTCTATTTTCCCTTATGTTTCCACAGCTTGATTGCTCCCCAAGTACTAAACCAGCACCAAACCTGTGCCTTAACAAGCATAGTAACTCTCATTTTCTGGCCAGATGGAGTTTAGGCTGCGTGTAATTTGCGGTAGATTGATGTGAATGAAAGGATATGAGGCCAGTGTTATTTCCAAGTAGAGAGGAAAGCAGTCACTTATTTTTGCACATGGCTGAACTGTTGTTTTGAAATGCAATAACCATTTCTCAAGAAAAGGAATGTTTCATTGCTAAAGACTGATAGAAAAACACATTGTTAATATAATCAAACAATACAGGTTAAGTCATCAAAAAGACATTTTAGCTTGTTTTTATAACACATTAAATGGGTTTTTACAGCAAACTAAAATGGATTGTTTTTTCTACAGCGTTTTTTTTCTTCTTGTGCATATAAAAAAAGCAGTTTAGCAAAATAACGTTTTTTTAGCTGTTAAATGGCGGATGAGGGAGACCACACACTAATGAGGAAGGCATTTGTCTTTGAGATAACAGAGACGATTGATCTGTCTGGCTGATGTGATATTCTGACAGCAGTTTTTCGTAATGCGTATTTAAATAGAAAGGAAGATGTTTTATTATTTATAAAAGCTATTTCATCTTGGTTGCTTTTTCACTGAAGCTTTTTAGCTCTTTATCTGTGTGTGTCTCAGGCCTGCATGTCTGTGTTGTTTCCCGCTCCAGAGAGATCAGTGTCACAAGACTGAAGAGGTCACGGTAATGTCGTCGGTCAAAAAAGGAAATTCCCTCTAAGGCGGCTTTAAGTGGGTGAAATGGATCAGAGGGGAGTTGTTGGCCAGCTGACCCTCCATGCTCTTGGGCCTGGTTTCTGGATCAGAGAGGTCTTATAGCTGGTTTGGAGACAGGAGCTTAAATACTGAGAGGAAACGCTCCACAGCTTTACCCTTCAGACTTCATACTAGAGCTTTAAATGATAAAGAAATCCAGTTTACAGAGTTGAAAGCGTTAGTATCCTTTTATCCACACTCTGTTTATCAAACCCTGGAGAGGAGATGTTCATCTTTTTCACACCTGAAGCCATTCTTTCTTTTCGCGGGATGTTGTTCTTTCTCTTCAGAGCAAATATTCCCTTTTACCTCACTGCCCAGTCTCATTCATAATGTCTCTCAGCACTCTTTGCTGGGCCATGTTGTCCTCCATTAATCTGCAGTGAGATGCATCTTGCTGTGTTTACCTTATCAGCCCATCGGGTGTAACTTGCTTAAATCTAATGACTCTTCTGGAGCACTATGCTTTGTCTGCATTTGCAGCTGCTGAGTGTTTTTAGTGAGAAGCCGCTTGACGTATTAGCTGTTGGGTTTCCCCCCGTATCAGTATTTCTAGTAGCAGCATGGAGGATGATCTCTATATTTTAACTTTGATATTAACCATTATTAAACATGATTATGTTTTAAAAGACAAAATGAAGTAGCGATCTGCCTGACCCACGCTGTTGGAAAAACCTTTTCTATCTTTGTCTCTGGGTGTTTGGCAAACATTAGCTCATCATGGCAGAGTCATTATGCTGTCAGACAAAGTTGGGAATGTGATTTCACTAATTTGCATGTTTGTCTAACAATGGAAGTATATTTTCATGTTCAGTTTTATTCTCTGTTGCATTGTCTAAATGTTGAGCATTTGTGTTTCCCCTTTCTTTCCTCCATCCTTGTACCTCCACAGCCCCCCTTTATTCGCTCTCTCTCTTTCTTTTCCATTACTCCCTGTTCTTCCATTGTTCATAACTTCCTGACGTGTTCCTTTGTTCTGTCCCTGCATCCTTTTTCGATCCCTTTCTTTGTTTTCTACCTCCCTTTTATCTGCCATTATTTCATTTCTTGTCCCAGTTTCATTCCTTTCCTTTGTCCTTATTGATCTCCTCTCTTTCATTGGGTTGTAGTATTGCAGTGGTGTGTTTGGGATCATATTTCAGTTCAATTAACCAATTTCATGTATATCAAAATCCATAGACCTAATCTTTGGATGCCAAAATGAATGTCTTTATGACCTTCCCTACATTCTGAGGTTGACGTACAGCTTCTTGTTGGTGTTTCCTCATTCATGAACCACTCTGAACAGCTGAGTGTTCACAGCCAATGCCATGGACAGAGCAGGCATCGGGCACAGAGGTTGTCCATCTACGCTCCTCTGGATGGCCAGGTAGGGTGCCGTCATGCACAATGGGTGAGGATTAGCTTCAAAGCAGGGAGGCAAATGGGCCCTGGGCCCCTTCTGTCCTTTCAGGACTCAGGCTGGGTTTGAGCGGTGAGATGTGTGGGGGTCTCTTGTCCCCCACTCCACCGCAGGGGAGTGGGAACAGAACAGAGTCTGGGAAAGGCTTGGGAGCTTCACCGGCCAGCCTCACATCCCAGCAGGTGATTCCTCTTACAGCTCAGCTAGAAAAACAGACTTGCTAAGCTGACGGGATGATAAAACCGTAAAAAAGTAGATGGGTTTTGTTTTACCGCTAGAAGGGATTTCTTTTCTATTTTGGTTTGAGGGTATTTTGTAAATCAAGTCTTTAGGATGTGTGTTAAAACCAAGCTTTCCATTTATAACTTTCGCCCCTCAACAGGGGACATCTCACTTTAGGAGCACAAACCTTAAATATCTACCAATCGCCATTTAGATATTATCTTCCAAGTATTCCCAGGAATTGTTAAGCCTCTTGCCCTCCAACTTTCTTACTTTTTCGGATTATAAGAATCATATTCTTCCCCTAAGCCGATTTTCACATGCTGTCAAGCGCATAGCATGGGGTGGTTACTGCAGCCAGATGGCTAACCCCTACCAGCTTTTTTCCATCCCAGGAATATACGGCTCATTCATATGCCGATCTCAGAATGGGACGAGAGAGACCGGTCTGAAGCGAGACACTTGGACATTAACGGCCAGTCCGTGCAATTAGCAGTGGGAGCCTTGAGGGTTTGAGGGAGCAGGATAGACGTTAACTCGTCACATTATGTCTCCACGTCTAATGATATGAGGATGCAGAAAAGTTTCTGCTTTTTTTCTCCACACCCTCGTTAATCATGCCTAATTAGTACAGCGATCTGGTTGGATGAAAGTGGTGGAAGGAAACGGAACCAAGAAGGAAAAGGATGAAAGTGTAGATGGACGGGTTGTCATGACGACAGGGTTCTGAGCGCGTGTGTTGGCTGATGAAGTCTCTTTTTGCCGGCTTGTCCAATCAGATGGCTGAGCAGCGCGTGCAGCACGAGCAGGAGAGGATGCGGCTACAGCAGCAGCACAGCGCGGAAAAGGAGAACCTGGTCCAGGAGCACCAGCGGGAGGCGGGCAGCCTGGAGAGGCAGGCCAGGGCCACCCTGCAACAACACCAGCAACACGCTGAGGAGTGGAGGAAGCGCGATGCCCAGGTAGGGGGTCTCGACAGATCCACCTTCACAGGCGCAGACACACACTGACCCGTCGCTCTCCCGCGGATAACCATTTCGTATTTAGCCCATTGACGTTGTCCTGGGGTTTCTAAAGCACAGCGGGTTGGTACACTTTTAAACTTGAAGGGAGACATGTCTGACTTTCTGAATGCCAATTATTTAAGAAAAGGATGTTTACATAGAAAATCAAACACAAAATTAACTAAACTAAAGTACTTACAATAAATCTAACTTTTTGAGATTAGTTTTGCTTTATTAAATACCAAAGCAAATTTCTGGATGTGAAATGGTGACGTTGTCTGTTGTGTCTAATTCCATGCTATATTTTGTTTTGATTTTTAAATCCACACTTTTAGACGCCCTAGGAAGCTTCCCAAACCCCAGGCGAACTGTTGTTCCTTCACGGGGCTTTGTCCTCTCCCCGCGGGTAGCCTTCTCCTTCCAGAAAGCGCATTTTCATACTGTTATTACAGCATTTTCATTCACAATGACTGTATGGATTCTAGATCTGAATCAATGGATGTGTCAGACATTGAGGGGGGGCTGCTATTTTGTTCAGATTTACCCAAAAACAGCAGGTCTTCAGCCTAAACCCCTCCGCGGGGTCTTGGGCGCTCTCCAGCCCGGGTGTTAGATTGGTGCTCTGTGGGAAGCTATTTGATAAACCAGCCCCCAACTGGGATTGTGTTTGGCTTGTCAGGCTTCGTGGAGAAATAAAATTTGTCAGCATGCAAAATGTTTATTTATTGGACCTTGGCTGGAGAGGAATACTTGGGAAAGGACATACTAGGTGTAACATTTTTGGTTTATTTTGGAGAAAAAGCTCTAAATGAGTTACTCAAACCATTTATTTTTATTTTTTTTACAAAAAAGACAATATTTTTCTTTTCTATTTTCTTTATTTTTTTATTTTAACATTACTTTTTGTTAAAAAAAAATAAACCATTAAGTTGTAAAATATTTTGCCATTGTTTAAATGTTCTATTTTACTACAACTTATTCCAAAACCTAGGCAGGTTTAGCAGCATTCACAGCTTAAAGCCCTCCAGAAGCTTTAAAGTCATGTATTTCTATAACTTTCCCTAAATGTCTTTAAAACCATTTTGTTTCTGTCATATGTTAGGGATTTTTGATCTGATATTCAGGGGGAGTTTTGTTTTTTCCAACATGTAAATGTAGGCTCCATTTGTGAGGGTGTGATATCTGGAGATGCCGCCGAGTCGCTCGTGTCAAAGTGACATACGGTTTGACGAATCCCCGGCATCTGGGAGGGGGGTTCTGGATTGAAAACAAACTTCCCGCTGTCCTCATTCCGTATTCTCAGATCCCGCTGTTAGCCTAAGCGATCTGACACCTTCTTATTGTCAGGGCTTCCAAATGTCATTTCAGGCCATGAAAAGAAGGAAAACACAGTGACAAGTTCTCAGTCACTGATAACTGCAGGTTGACTGAAGTCCCTTCTAACTATAAAGTTTGCATGAAGTGCCTTTTCCAGCCCCTGAGAGCCCAGGCACATAAACTGTTCAGATAGATCCTGCTTGTCCTCATCCCTAAGAGGTCCAGAGCTACCAGTGAAAGAGTACAGCCAGCTCCAGTGGCTCTTTCCCCAGGATGAGTAATACCTGCTCATCCCCTTGTTCTGGGGTGAAACTAATAAACAGCATTACTGACTCGTTTTTAAGCAGATCTGTCAAACCAACAGATTTACGGGAGAGCTGGATAAGTTAAAGAGTAACACAACTTCATCCCACAATTCTGCATCACTTAGGATTTGTGTAGTAGCTCTATGAAAGCTTTTATCAGATGCGAAAGGGAGATTTTGGTCATTTGTGTATAGTGATGAAATGTGTGGCTGCCTGCAGACCGCTCTATGTGTTTCTATTAGCTAATCAATGCCCTCCACTATGGAAGCAAATCGTTACCATATTTAAAATGAAAAAGCATTTTCAGAAATGCTTTTTCATTTTAAGAATGTGGCTGCATTGTTTGACCCATAAATGAAATTAGTAATCAATCATCCTATTTTCATTTTCTTCTTCAACACTGCTCATCCTTTTACTTAATTAAAATGAAAAAGAAAAAGACATTTGAGATTTATTTTTCAAAATGTACGCCAGCAAATACATACCAAAATTCAATTTGAAATGTTAAATTTGAAAATGAAAAAGCATCTGTCTCTGTTCCATTTCCGATTTTCTAACATTCCAGGAGATCATTTATCCATTTTATACAATAACCAGACTAACTTCTAAATATTTAGAAATAAAAAGTTAAACATTATTTCTAGTAGGTTTGTAGTTATCATTCTAGATATCAGTGTGTTTATTAGTTGGATCGTCGTAATGTGGTTTCAGAGATTTCTAATTCTCAAGCATTTGTAATCAGTTCTATTCTTAGTTTGTAGTTTCTTCATTTACTTGCTCTGTTGACTGTTTTTTCTTTCTATTTTTGGAATTTGCTGTTCATCGGCCGCTTTCACTCTCCCCCGTCGTCCCGTTGTCATTTAGTCCTGAGACCTTTCGTAGTGTGTTTAGCGAATAAAAACCTAAACGTAATTTTGAAGGTATTCGCCCACAGCTAAGTCAGTACTGAACATTTTCTAAAACGAGACAAGCTTATAGTCGTCGCTATAAGTTGCCAAATTGATCATTTTTTAATACCGTTATTTTTTTAAGTCAATTGACAGCTTCCCCCTAAGCCTGCTCATCGGCTCCCGTCCTGTCTGCCCTCTGGTGGAAGTCCGTTATTTCTGCACACGCTGATCAATAAGCAGAGTTTTCATGAAAATCCTTTGTTGAAGTAGAAAATAAAAGGTTAAAAAAAAAGTTTCTAAAGTTAGTAACTCATGTAATAGATAATAGACTTTAAAGTATTGTTTTATGAAAAACTGGTGCAATTATAAAAATTGTAAAGCGATATGTGTCATCAGTTGTAATTTAGCTGCTTTCTGCATCTGATGGCATATGGTTGATATAATTGTAGCTGCAAAATAGGATGAAAGCTTGACCATAACTCACACTATTTGGACAAAACAAAGTGTTCTTCAGCACTTTTTTCCTCTCCGTATATCTATTTCATAGTGTTATATAGTGCACTGCAGAAATTATTATTTGTTTAGATCTAATGGCCTCAGAAAGTTTTATATTTTTAATACATCTGACTTAAACTTTCAGAAACTGTGTTTGTTTATCTGATCTAAAGCACCTCATTCATATTTCCCACCTGTTCCTCCTCAAGCTCATCTAACGGGTCATTATTTCTCTCCTAACGGACTGTATACACCATCTGCATTTTAACAGCAGTGAAAAAGTGTATTTTTTTAGGTCTTTTGCCTCGGTTGTGGTGAACTAAATTGAATATTTTTTGTTTTTGTTGTTGCTCTTCTTTTTCTTTTTTTTTTTTTTTTGGTTTCAGAGGTTTTCAATCCGGAGACACGATTAAACCGCATCAGATGAAAAGGATGATGACAGACTGTGTCAAAGCAGAGATAAAAAGGACAGCCTAGACTGAGATGGGCTCTGATGTGCCATCATTCTTGCATAAAAATGTTTTGTTACTTGCTAATATTCTGTTACAAACTAATATCCAACATTCGCCGAAGGTCCGTAATGTTCTGACTGCATGGCATATTAAAAGTTCCCCGGTCTCCTTGAGCTTCTTGCGTTCGGCGTTTTCAGTTTGCTTACCCAATGTTGGAATCCTGTCTGTGCTACTTATCAAACTCTCTCTTTAAAAGAGTTCACCCCACCCCCATGGGCCCGGTTCTGATCACAGCTGAAGTCATCAGTGAGCTCTGATGCTCTCTGATGTGTTACAACATGCTTCCTTATAAACCATCAAGTCATTTTTTATGTGCATACATCACACCCAAGATGTCAGCCAGATACATATTTTAACCGACTGACAGAAGTGAGTAACTCGCTGCCATGCTCAGCTGTGTCTGATAACCGCAGACTGTTATTTAGTTTCAAACATGATGAGAAAATGATGTTATGTGACAGAATCACCAGCAATACGTTCATAAAGAACACAAACAGGAAGTAGGATTCAGTTGTCACAAAAGATTTTATGAAGGTCACAAGTTTCTTTAGAAGTGAAATCTGAAAATTGTGGCCTGTACTTCTGTTTACTCCTCCTTACCCTCAGAACCAAATAACAGCCTTTTCAGTTTTGGCCTTTAGAACTCATTAATAACTACAGGGTGATTTATTCTCAGCAAAGATCCAGCTTCAGTATTTAAATCATGTTAGATAGCGCAGTTAAATCGCCAGCATCAGTTGATTGTATGATTTAGTAAAATAAAGGAAAATCCTATTAAAACAGCAGTTAGAGGGAGAGGTTTCTTTTCCAGCAGAACATCCTAAAACTAAGGGATGTTTTAGATTGAAGCATTTCTATATGGCCTAGTCAAAGTCTAGGTGCTAATTTGAAAGTGAAAATGTGTAGCGTAACTTTTAAAGACGTGCTTCATCCAATCGGACTGATCCTCAGGCCATTTTACAAAGATTTAGCAACAATTTCTCAAAGTTTATCAGTGTGCAAAGCAGATTAAGACAAATAATTGCAGCAAAGGATATTCCTATGTATTACTTCCACAGATCATAGTTTGTATTTGTTCACATCACACAACTTTATCTGCAGAGATCATAAGTATTGGGCACTTTTGAAACACGCAACTGAGGATTTGAAAGCAAAGGGAAGAGGCTCACGGAGCATTCACCTATGTGAGACCGTGCTGAGCGCTGTGTTGATCCTGCACCCTGTCCAAACGTAAGCAAAGCTGCTCTTTATCGTTTCAGCTTTTTATTTAGTCCTATGTTGCATTAGCAGCTCTTATGGTTTTCACACCCTGATCCCCTCCTGATAAGATTCAGGGGCCTGATAATGATGGATTGAAATTAACCTCCACTCCTTTGTGAGGAGTTTTAAACACATGGAGATCAGTGGACAGAAGGACTATCTGTGGTGGATCATCTATTCAGGAGCTGATTAAAGAACAGTAACTATACTTTACAGATATATTGTACTCTTTTTTTTTTGCCCTACAATGCAGACTTTTGAGCTGGTTTATAACCTCACATCTATATAAAACACCTTAAAGTGTGTAGCTGTAGCATCATGGAATGTAAATAGTTTCTAAGGATCTTCCTGTGATGTTTTCTCATGTTTCTCATGTGTTTTTGTGTGTTTGTAGGAGTTGCTGCTCTGGAAAATCCTGCACCTAATTATTAAAATACTTTGTATAAAAAATAAAACAAAATCAGCTTTAGTCAAACTGAGAATTACGTATTAAAAAGTCTCCAGGGTTCTCATCGTATTGCCTCTTGCCCCTGATTGCAAAAGCAGAGCCGAGAAAATTGGAAAAGATCAGACAGAATTTAGGGGACATGATTTTTTGTTTGTTTTCTTTGAATGTGCTGCTTGTTATTCTGAGTGTGTGAGACAACTAGATATTGCGTCTTTGTACACACGCCTGTGTGCACGAGGAGATGTGTCTTGTGAACCAGCGCAGACAGCGAGGGTAACTGGTAGCCACAGCTTCTGCTAGTTTTTGTAACACTCCTTTCAAGTCCCTTTTGCTTCTCCTTAGTGCCCCCTAAACAAAAGCACTTCAGACATTGGCTGTCTGATGGCCTTAACGCAGTGTTGTCCGGGGACGCTTGCGCCTTTCGGGGGGCTGGGGACCAAGCAGGAGGCAGAACACATGCTGCTCACCAAAGCAACACAAAGGACAGTAATGAGGATGTGCAATAAGTAGGGAGTCGGTGCAATACAGGTGTGATAGGGTGAAACAATGCTCTTCATCCTAGACCTGGCAACACTTTAACATGATAGTTATGCTTCTAGTTGGTAGAGTCTTCCTAGAAGCTGGAGGTTTTCATGTTTATTCAGTCTAATTACTTTTGAGTGTCTGAGGGCATCTTATTTAGCTCAATGATAAGAGTTCATGCTGCTAAAAAGAACTAATATTTTCTCTTTTGATGTTTAAAAGCTTCAGAAAATCCAGTTTTTTTCTTTAAAAACAGTCTCAATCATCCCTTTTTTATGACTTTTATTTTATTCATCTTTCTTCTAATTAATTTTGTTAACTCCAGAGTTCTAGTTTTGTCAGACTGGTTTATTTTCATAGATTTTAGGGACGACTCGTTTCTACTGGATACCATTTCTGCTCTGTTATTTGAACTCTCACTGATAAGGTTATTAAATGTGTTCTGAGAAAAGTCAAAGCTGAGAGATTTTAAAAGAGTTGGTTCAAAGGCCACCACCCACTTCCATACAGAGGTTAGAGAGTAGCAGAAATAAAGTTAATCCACACCATATCTCATTATCCCCTCTTCATCAGCCCACCTCTTTCCTCAAACTCTACTGTTTCTTTTAAAGCAATAATTATCAGAATGTTCAGAAAGACTATCTTTGGACTAAGGCTTTTTTTCTGTTATCCTGCAGACAATTTCTGATTTGGAGGCCCAGGTATCCAGTTTACATGAGGAGCTCCAGAAGGTCCACGCCCTGCACAAGCAAAAGCTGGCAGAGATGGCGTTACTTCAGGAGGAGGAGAGGCAAACGGCAGCCCTCAATAAGGAGGCATCGATGCACCAGCTGCGCTCCGACATGGAGCGGATTGCCAAAGACCTGAAGAGGAGCCACCAGCAAGAGATGGATGCCACTCTGAAGAAGGTAAATAAAGGAGCTGAGAGTAAGGGAAAAAAAACATTGAAATCCTCTATAGTCTCTGCATAAAAACAAACCAAAATAATGTGATCAGTATATTTTATTTATTAGATGTCCAAAACACAAGGTGGTAAAACTAACGAAGCTGGAGGGAAATGATAGGTGGTTTATCACATTCTCTTTTTCTTGACAAACTAAGCAGTGTAGTCAGTTTCCAGTCACAGTATAAACAAACCGTTCATGTTTACAGTATTTAAAACTTGCTTATATTCAGATAGGAATTCAAATATCTCCCTTTAATATGCAGACTATCGGAGTGACCCGGTGTCATGTTGCTCTGATTCAGCTGCAGGATGCATTTTATCTCGACAGACCAGCAGTTTGGGAATCCTTCCCAACCTCGACACTCCAACCCTTCCTTCACAGGTTGCTCTCCGTCTGCTGTTACAGTAGAGGTGCATGTGTTCATCTACCTGTTAAAACTAGGGGTCAGTCAGACTTGATGAGAGTCTAGAGGGTGCATAGTCCACGTTTTACATATATGTGCAAATAAGGAGGTAAATGGGTTTAAAAATGCTTTCCATGGCATGAAAAGCGCTGAGCAGAACCTCAGGTAGGGAGCCCAGATGCCAGTCAAAGAGCGCATACACTCATGATAAATGAATGTATAGAAGGTATTTCAGTGTAGCGGCCTGCTACTCTGAAATATGTCAGGAATTTAAATACATCAGCTGTTAGCAGTGACCATTTGAAGCAAGGGCAAAAAGAAACCTTTTACTGAAAGGTTCACCGTACCGCAGGATGACGGCTTTGAATATACAACTGGAGCTACACTGGAACAGTTTTAATCAGGGTGGGCTGAATCCAGTCCTGCAGCGCTGCTTTTTTTGCAACTTTTAGATGCACCTTTTCTTAGTGTATAGATTTTATTCCCAACCCTGGCCTTAACATCTGGCCTTAATATCAGGCAGGACAGTGAGGTTCGGGTCTGGCTTTAAGATTTTACTTTTCTTTCAAGTGACATAAGTCTATTAACTTGTGGTACTAGTAATGTTGTTGTTTACTCTTTTTTTAAACAAGAGAGAAAGTTTGGCACAGCAGTTAATTCAACATAAGCAAGGCGTGAACTGTACACGGGAACGTGGCCCCTCTACAATATGTGTTTGGATCAATTCTGAACAATCAGTCAGGATGAAGCCACACTGGAAAGAAATCGAAATAAGTAATTTTTTCTTAAAATAAGTGTATTTGATCTTGGATTGAGGAGGTAAAAGACACTTTTTGCAAATGGAACAAGATTATTTCCACTTAAAATAAGAAAACACAATTGCCTTATCTTATTTCAAGTGCATTTTATCTAATTATCTTATTTTAAGAGTAAAAATACTCATTCCATTTGCAAACTATCTCATTTACCTACTGAAATTAAGGTTAAATACACTTAATCTAAGAACATTTTAGCTATTTATAGATCATTTTTCCAGTGCATTAGATGAGCTCATTCTACAGCTGAAGGTGTGGCGACAGAAAGCCCATCTGAACCTGCTGTGCTACACCCTCTGCACCACCACACAACACCCTGAGCCTTGGGCCTGTACTGACAGAGTGCAGTTTAACCTAACATTCCTTACCTATGCAGTCAAGGCGGTGGTTTGCACCACAGGGACTGGCTGCCTTCATTAGCACTAGTAAAATATTTAAATAGAATATCTATTTGATGTCTGATTTTCCTCTGGCAATTCAAGTATGTTGGCCAGCCTCTTGCAACATGGATCCGGTCATTTAAGGACTGCAAAAAACACATAGGTTGGTAATGGTCAAATTTGAATTTGGCACTATAGTGGTGTAGGATGTAGAAGTTCATCCTGCAGATGAAGGTTTGCAGGTTTGAATCCCAACTCCATTTCACCTGCATTCCCTGCTGATGGGGGTCACGGGGCCTGATGGTACGGCAGCCTTGCTTCTTGCCCTGCGCCCCAGGGCAGCTATGACTATTAGTTACTATAGTTACTATTAGTGTGTAAATGGCTAAATGTAGTGTAAACCCCTCTGCAGCCTTGAAAAGGCATTATTTAAGTTATAGGTCAATGTGTACAGTCTAGCCTTTACCAGGCGTCCCCACTCAGCTTATCTGTAGTCGCCCAACAACTGGATAGACCTGTAAAGCCATCAGATCCCCAGCTGTTTTCTTTTTTCATATCCCTTATAATGATTAAAACACACATTGAAGTACCAGCATTTTTATGTTTTGGGTGATTTACAAAAGGCTGAAGAGATAGGATATTCTTTGGGAAAATATATAAGCTTAGAGGCAATATTTAAAGATTACCGTCTGTTTAGAAAGTATTTGACAAGAAAAATTCCGGTTTATTGTCTTAAAGTTCAACTTTGAATTAACTATACTGAGGAAATGTTTACCATTATTGTCTGGATCCTGACTTTTGTTCTTGTTTCTTTACTCCTTGAGAAACTCAAGCAGCTGTACCATTTGGAGGCGTGTATTAAAGATGATCTAATTAATCATCTGGTAATATATACCCACCTTATATCCTGTTCTGAAGTCCTAAGTTTAATTTCAGGATTTTCAGAGTACCAAATAAACCACTTCAATAAGCCAAGCATTAACATTTCCATATTATCTGACTGAATTATATGTTTAACTTCAACCCAGTGGTTAAATCCAGCGGTGGATTCAATACATTAATCAGGCCGATTCTATGGGAGACGAGGGAGGAAAGACCACCCGGTAAGCTGCTGTGATGGCTGAGAGCATAGCAAGCTCAAAAAGCACTGGATAAACCTCGATATCTCGATAAACCATGATTTTTTTACACAGCTGCATTCTTACCCACACACAGCTTTTGGGTCACAGGATGTGAATTATATACATTTTTTTATCACAATCAAGTCGACCCCCTCTTCACCCATTGACGAATGCATACACAGGACACATCCATTTTATACACTTATTTTGAGCCCGATAAATTTCTAAAAACTAAAATAAGTTGGTTTGAAAACAAAGTTGAAAGTAAAATGATGATAATTTGGAAAAAGATAAACATATCCCCCTTTTCTCTCATAAGTAACATCAGACATGGCTCACAGAACAAGTGTAATACAATGGTCCCAACTTCATGGGAAGATGGGATTTAAAGGCCTTTAATGTGAGGAAAATGGTTTTATTTTGTTGCCTGTAATACTGCAGATATGATCAGTTCTACCAGATCTAATTTTTCAATTAAGAATCTATCATCTCATGCTAGGTTCCAATCTCCTGCTCCATCATATAAACACTCATGCATAACATGCTTACATTAAAATCTGAGGCAATGATTTGATGAGAGGTGAAGTTAGGTTCTGCTATGCTACACGATCTAGCTTTGTTCCCTGCCGAGCTTCCTTTCTGCTGCCCTCTCTGGTTTATGTAGTATTGACACCCCTCTAAATAACTGCACTGAGGAGAGGCTTTCTTCGGCCCACTCTTCCATAAAGCCCCGAGTGGTGGAGAACCTCAGTGATAGTTGACTTTGTGGATAGTTGGATAGTTGACTTTCTCCCATCTCCTTACTGCATCTCTGGAGCTCAGTCACAGTGATCTTTGGGTTCTTCTTTACCTCTGTCACCAAGGCTCTTCTCCGTCGATTGCTCAGTCAGGCTGGGCGGGCAGGTCTAGGAAGAGTCCTGGTCGTCCCAAACTTCTTCCGTTTAAGGATTATGGAGGCCACTGTGCTCTTAGGAACCTTGAGTGCTGCAGAAATTATTTTGTAACCTTGACCATAATTCTGTCTCTGAGCTCCTTGGGCTGCTCCTTTGACCTCATAATTCTTGTTTATTCTGATATGCACTGTGAGCACTAGGGCTGGGTATTTTGACCAAAATCCTAAATCCATCAGATTCCGATCTATACAGTTCCGAATTGATTAATTTCGATTTATTTTTGCACTAATGTAAGCGGTTTAACTGTTTTAAAATACTCATGTATTTTTTTTTCCTGACATATCAAACACAAAGTGCAAACTTGTAAATTAGACGGTCTAAAGCTGAGATGTAAACAAAACTGTCTCAAAAGTGCTAGTTAGTGAAATGTGAAACAAAAATGAAGCCTCACGCGAGCAAGCAGACATGACATGAATTTTAGACCTGTGTGTGAGGCTAAGTTCAATGTGTGGGAAAAGCAGCCGACATGCATGAGCTGCATTATCTTCACTGCACAAACCATATTTGCAGCGTTTTTTTTGTAACAACTACAGGGTGTTTGCTGGTCATCCCCTATTTGTTTATACCTTCCGTCAACCTATTGGCTATATTTGCAGCTGCGTGGCTTGGGATCATTGGGATAACGTTTTCAGTCAGATGTACATGAACCAGCTGCTTGAAGCCTTTATTTTCCACTACAAAGTAGGGGCATAAATCTTTGCACCCAAAAGTTAGATATGGCCTCTCTTATCCTAATGGGCTCTATGCACAGCTCCACTACTTCCTGAATTTAAGGCAGCTCCTTTGTTTCCTGTCTTTCGTTACTGGACGAACTGATTAATCCAGGTGTGTCTGGCCAGTTACTTAGGTCATACACACCTGGATTAATCAGTGCATCCAATCATGAAAGACAGGAAACAAAGGAGCTGCCTTAAATTCAGGAAGTAATGGAGCTGTGCATAGAGCCTATTGCCTGAGAAGAATCTGCTGGTAATGCTATCGAGTCCTTCAATTTTTTTTGTTTACCTCCGGAAGGTTTGTTGTAGTGTTTCTACAATAACTGACCTCGGCTTGACCGATCTTGCAAACCACTTTGGTTTTATCCAGCACATTATCTTTATTGTTTTAAATCCAAAAGGGTTCCACACATCAGACTTGGATGGCTTGCTGTGCTGTGTGTTACTTGTGTCGGCATTTGCCATGCCTGCTCATTTGAAGTTGAACATTGCGCATGTCACAATTGAAGTAATCGATCTCATTCCCTACTCATCGATTTTGCAAAAATTTAAAGGAATAGATCCAAAATCGAT